ACAGCTCCTATAAAGTAGAAGTTAAAAAAGTATAAGTCGTGCAATTCGAGGGTGTACCAAGCCTAAGCAAAAATTATATATATATTTGACTGAACCCCTCCCCCCCCCCCGCCACCTGGATTGAAACTGCCTACCACATCTTTTACAAATACTCTTCATAGCAAGGTTTTAGGTTTGGAGCCAGTCATTTAAAACCCGACCCTCTGTGAATATAACACGATTGCAAAGATTGTTTTTAAAAAACTCAACGCAAGGGCAATATTATTGTAAGGCTCTTTTGCGTATCCTTTACAAAAAAAGAATATTATGATAATGTAATACATGATTGTAATTTTTCGCATCTCTGCAATGGTGTTATGTGAACAAATACTCACCAACGCACACACACAATAGCGGGAGGCAACTCCACAACAATGCCTCGTACTGGGGAATTCCACTTCGGGCGTAGTACCTGAAGGTGGATGGGGACTACCTCCCCCCCCCCCCCTCCCAATGGTACAGTGTTTGTCTGTTGTTTCATCAACTTAGGCCCAAGACTATACGTTATTTTAGAACTTCATGTTGTCCAGTTTTGAGAATCAGGCATCTCGTTTAGTTAAAGCAAACTCCTTCGCATCTCATAACTTCGTTTATTATCTGTATCATGTAGTTTTAATCCATACAAATTAGTGCTTGGCATTTCTAGAATTTTGGTAATGATTGTAATATATCATCATGAAACATTTTTTCAATCGTTTATCTGTTATTGTCTTTATCATGGAATCGATAATAATAGCCAATTATATGACGACCTTTCGGCTATGAAAAAGAAGAAGAGGAAGAAGGAGAAAGAAACAACTTTCAGAGTTATCAAATTTCACAGAGTTCAAGTACAGCATTAAAGTGAAAACTAAGACTAGGCCTATCCTTTATTTTTTAGAGCATGTCTATGCCCCTGATTTCAACGATGAGGTCCCTTTATTTACGAAAAACCAATGGACTGTGATGACGTCAGAAAAGCACAACACCGCCTTTATGCAGGCCGCTATTAAAGCTGTAGCCCAATTTCTACTACATAAATATACCAGTACGTTGCTACGATTAAGCCCCAAAACGCATCATTTGGTGAACAGCAGACCTATCAGGATCTCATCTCTGGTAAGTGGTATCATTTTACATTTTTCATTCAGGCACGAGCAATAATATTTATTAATTGTATTTATATACGAAAAAATGGGGGGGGGGGGGTGGGTTCGTTCAACATAGTTGAAGGAAGGTCCGAAATTGGTAACCGTGGTGACTTGGAGGACGGCCATAGGGCTTGCATACGAATTGTCCGCTTAGAAAGGTCGATTGCTGTACAACATGTTGAAATAAATTTGTCATCTATATTATTAGGGTTGTTTACGAAGTATTCTATGTCAAGGTGATATCAAGCCTTAATTGTCACTATCATTGTCAATCTCATCCTGATACTGGAATAAACCCTCGAACCAGTGGCGGATCCAGGGGGTCCCCATGAGCGCCAGGGGAGGGGGCCCATCTCCCCCAAAAAGTTAAATTAACGTGTTTTTACCAAGGGGAGGGGCCCCCTGGATCCGCCACTGCCTCGAACTATGTACCATGTCTTGCTAAGACTCTTTGTACGGCTTTCTGAAGATTTTTTATTTTTCTGTGAGATCAGACATAATTTCATGATTGATTTCAGCTCCTCAAAGGAACACGTTCTGCTGCAAGAACTTGGAGTAAAGATCGAAAAAGGTGTGTTTGACGGCCCATAGAACTTAGACGTGAGCCTTATGGGAGATATATTTTTTTATATTTTCGTCTCTGAGGTCCTAGGTGGTTGTCATGAGCAAGGTTGTCCTCAATCTATGTCGTTACGACGTTATGGCGTCAAGTTGTTATATTACGTGAAACTACAGTTACTTATGTTATCAAATAACAAAATATGTAAAATGACAAACTATATATTTATAGAGATTCAATTTCCTTTGTATCCATTCCGAGCTAAACTTCATCGAGTCAACACGAATACTTTCGATATGTCCAATCGCTTCACCTGTTCAATATGCGATAGGACCGATAGTCGCAAGTTCGACATGAAGAGGCATGGCCAAAATGTACATCCTGATATGAAATATCATGTATACGATTCGTATAAGATTAAGGTATAAGATTCCGACCCTGGTGCAGAAGCTAGTGAAGATGATTTCTCCGAACCACTCTCAAAAAAGCAAAGAATCTAGCGATGATGCTGAAACAAGTGATTCGGAAAGAGAAGGAGAGGATGAATTGCCAAAGTCAGAGACAACTAACATTGAAGAACTTGAGGATAACCTTGTCAAAACAATATCAAAACAAAAGCATGTTACAGGTTGAATATTGGTAATGGCTGTATATTACAGTAGTCGAAAAAGAATAATGAAGGATTCTCTGCAGTCGTTATTTCAACGCTGTTTTTTTTTCTTCTTTCTTTAACTTTTATTTACATTTCGGCCCAAGATTAATCTTGAGAACTTGAACAAACCATTGGCTCACACAGAATTTCAATTCTCTTTCTTTGTTCTATTTTATTCAGGATTTAAGTTATAAGAGTGAGACAGACATGGAGAGGAAACGCAAGCTGACATCACATCCAGATATGAAGGACCATTTAATCTGCGCTATATGCCACGATACATTCGATGATCCCCGCAATCTGGTATGTGGACATGTGTTTTGCCTGAAATGTCTGGATGAGCTCTATAAAACTGTCCCAGGGTATCAAAGGATAATTTGTCCCACTTGCAGAAAAAGGACCAAAATACGAGAAAAAGGAGTGAATGGACTTAGTCGAAACCTACCCATCCTGGGGCTCCTAGACCAGGACTTGAGTGAAGAGCCAGGGCCTTCTAGTAAAAGACCAAAAAGAACTCCCACGTGCATTGAGCACGACCAAGAGCATAGAGACATTTATTGCAGTATCTGCCTAGTCTTCATTTGCTTTCAGTGTTTCCAAGAAAATCATTCCAACCATGTTACCAAGTCTAGAAACCGATTTATGGGAGAGCTAAATCAAAAGACCGACGATGCCAAAAAGCAATCTCAGGTTCAGTCGAAAATTTTGGAGAACAATCTTCTTGAAGCTGATCAGGAAATGCATAAGTTGGTTTCGCATAAAAACAGAGTGAAGGAGAAATTAAATTCCTACATGCAACATTTAACTACAGCAGAACAAAAATTGGAATCGGATGTTGCTCGGTTCAAAGAAAAGGGGGAACACTTTAAAAAGATTCTGGCGACTGCTGTTCCAAAATTGGAAAGAAGCACTTTACAGGATCTAGATGACGAAGACCTCAAGTCCTACGTAGAAAATGTAAACAATGTGATGGACATTCTCAAGACTGACATTGGTGTAGAACATTTAAAGCTCTGGAATAAACGCGTATTACAATCTGCAGCATCAAGACCTCAGACCGGCTCTGTTCCATCAACCAGTGGCGGAACTGCAGGACAGGCTCCCAAAAGAGTTTCTCCCAAGTCGGTTAACAAGTCCCTTTAGATAATAAATAAGGTGTTTGTGGGTGGCTAGGTGGCTATACAGTGTTTCAATGGCTAAATGCCTTTACTTTAGCAGCGAAATGTGGCAAACTACAGACGTAATCAAATACACGACAGTCATGTTTAGCGGGTCATGTAGAGAGCACTTTATTAGGTCATAGATCATGTGACCTCAACAATTAGCATAGATCATTTGCATGCATAAATATTCATGTCACAAGTCAACAATATTGTAGCACATATTGTTACATCCTCTCCTTTTTGAGAAGTTTAGGATTTCAAATAATAAATAAAACTGAAATAAGGCCTTAACTTATTTTCTTGAACATATTCTGAATTTGAGAAGATTTGTAACTCTGACATTTTCTAAACTATGGAAACAGTAGTTCAACATAAAATTGTCGATGTAAAAGTGACCCTTTTTTCTTTCATTATAAAGCTTTACAAAATAAACTTTTAAGAAACTGTAACAAGTCAAGTTTCAAATTGTTTCAAACTCTGAACGCTTCTGAATAACTAAATACTAATAAATCAATCTTAAAAACCTAAATAGACAGTGTTATTGTGTCTTCATTTCTTTCTCTATCAATGTGAGACATCTGTCTAATATTACCCTCAACATTTCACCTCCTTTTTTTTTTTTTTTTTTTTTTTTGCAGAGTAGATATAAACACTCTGAACACTTGTAACAAAATTATGATTGATAATTTGATATCATATTCTAAAAATCATAAACAAAACCTTCAACATGTTCTAGATCACATGAGTGATGAAATATTATCTCTTCTGTGCTGAAATTCTAAAAAAAAAATATTGGAGGTGTTTTCATACACTTAGTATACTTAAAAGTTAAATCATTGGGGTTGTATATTTTTAGATCAAATAATATCAACCAAATAATTAATGACATCATTTTCTTTTGAGCTAGCTCACTGGTGTACCACTTTTTTTTTTGTTTTTTTTTTGTTGAATGAATTCAGTTCTTAACATAATCTCCATATCTTTTAGGTGGTCTTATGACTCTCCCTGTCCTCATTTTTCTCAGAGTGTTCTCTGATTGGGTGTGGGTGTTTGTTTCTACATTTGTGTGTGTGGTTTGTTTGGTACCATGTACACCATTTTGTTCAGACATGTGTGGGGTGTCTTCTGTGTGTGTTTGATCTTCAGGAACTAGGGGCTGGGAGACCTTCCTTCCTGTCCCTGCCTCTAGCTGGTCCTGTGTATTTCCGTTTTGGAAATTTTCAAACGAGTGTTTCAGATCTCTCCTGTTTCTTCTCAACTGTTGTCAATCTTCTCTCTCTATATGGTATGACCTGTCATCTAGTCTTTTCCTCACAACTGCTTTCTGCCAGACACTGTCTCCTACTTTGTAAGGTTTCACTCTGACTGTGTCACCTTCATGTAGCTTCGGTAGGTCTTTTGCATTTCTGTTGTAATTGTCCGATTTTTTCCTCTGGAGCTCTTTCATTCTCTGTTTTTCATGGTCTAGAACACTGGCTCCTGTTGGTTGTAGAAGATTTTTTTGTAGTAGGCAGGTTTGTCCTTGTTCTTCTACCATGGAGACGTTGGGCTGGGCTACTTCCTAGTCCTTGGGTTGGTGTATTTCTAATCTCCAGTAATGCTTTGTATTGGTCTGTCCGAGATCTCCTGCACTTCTTCATCATTCTCTTCGCCGCTTTGACTGCGGATTCTACTTTCCCATTAGACTGACTATGTCTAGGTGAGATAGTGAGGTGATCAAAGTCCCATCTTTTCTTGAAGTTGACAAAGTCTTCGGAGATGAATTGGGGTCCGTTGTCGGATATGAGAGTGTTCGGGATTCCATATCTGGCAAAATGTCCTTTCAGCTTCTTGATCACTGTTTTGCTGGACATGTCATGAAGGCGGTCAACTTCCCAATAATTGGAGAAATAGTCAACCGTGACGAGATAAATGCTTCCCTTCTAGCTCAAAGAGGTCAGCTGCCACTTTTTCCCATGGACGGTCTGGTAGTTTATGGGGTTGCAGAGTCTCCTTTTGGTTTTGCTTTTCATACGTCCGGCATGCATCGCATGTCGATATGAAAAGCTTGATGTCTGCATTCATACCAGGCCAAAACATGCATTCACGGGCCCTGCGAAGAGTGCTTTCTGCTCCTAGATGTGACATGTGGAGTATGTCTTGCATTTTCTTTCGTAGAGTCACCGGAATGACAATCCGTTCTCCTCTGTACAGCAATCCATCTTGTGAGCTAAGTTCATCACGAATGTTAAAGTACGGCTTTGCTGGATCTGGTACTTGGCTTTTTTCTTCTGGCCATCCATCCATTATCACCTTCTTCAGTTCCTGAAGATTTTCATCTTGAGAAGTCTGAGTCTTCAGTTCCTTGATCTGCTCATCACTCATTCCTATACGTGAGATGGCGTTGACTTCTGTGCTGTTGATGGTATGAAGAAGCTTGAGTTTCTCGTAGTTTACTGTTATGAGTCCCATCCACTCAGATGTTTTTCTTGAGATGATGGGTGTGAGGTGGTCTTCTTCAATTACCATGAATTTAGTCAGGTACTTCTTTCTTGTCTTGGGGTTACGTAGCTTCACCATAGTGCTACCTATTGCCCATACAGAAGATTGGTTGTACGTCTTCAACTCTATTCTTCCTGTACATACTTCTTTGGTATGACGTTGGCTGTCGCTCCACAGTCTACCTGAAATTTGACAGGTGTTCCTTCAATGAGCATTTCTGCATAGATGCCATTCTTCTTGTGAGAGGTTGTGTTGACGATCTCGATTACATCAACTGATTCTGTCTCAGTATCGTCAGAACTGGTATCTTGCTCTTGAACAGCCTTGATTTGGCGTTTGTTGTTACAACAGCTGGCAAAATGATTCATTCGCCGGCATTCATTGCAAAGTTTGCCATACGCAGGACATTCTTCTCTTGACATTTTGTGCATCTTTCCACAAAATTTACACTTGATCACTTTATCGTTGGTGTCTTGCCTGTGTTCCTTCACCTTGAAGCGAACATCTGATGGCGGGTTGCTCCCTCCTTTCATCTTTGGCTTGGTATACATGTACTTCTTCCCTTGCCTTAAGGTTCTTGGCTTAAGTGTATTTATCGTTGGGTCCTCGCCAAGGTCTCGTAACTGTTGAGTTGTCGCCTCTGCGGATCTGCAGATTTCTATTGCTGTTGATAGCGTCAATTTTTTCTTTTGGAGGAGCATTTTTCTTGAACTGTGGTCCTTGATTCCGAGAACAAGCCTGTCTCGGATTAGTGAGTCATTGATGCAATCACAAAAGTTGCATGTGCGAGCAAGGTCTCTCAGTGCTGTTACATACTCTTCGACAGTTTCCTGTGATCCTTGCTCACGTCTATTAAATACATAACGTTCATAAGTTTCGTTTGTTTCGCCGACAATAACGGCATCCATCTTCCTAACAATGAGTTGAACATCATGTTCATCTTCTTTCGTCCCATCTGGGAGTGTCTTGAAGTTCAATGTATTAAAGAGCCGAAGACCTTCGGGTCCAACAGTGTTGAGGAAAACTGCTCTTTGGTATTTCTTCTCTCTCTTTTGTAGTTCCGTAATAACTACATAATTGTCCCACAATTGACGGAATAGTTTCCATTCCTCGGTCTTGTTATCCTTCATTTTGAGAGGAGGAGGGGTAGAGACATTGAATGGTACTTGAGTCTGTGCCATTGTGAATTACAAAGTATTTTGTTTCTATACTATAGAATGTACTTGAAAGTAGATGACTTGAAGCAGATGTACCGGTATTTACCTGTACACCAATGTGCCTATGCTCGAAAATGCAAACATGAATTATATAATTTTACACATTTACTCGTAAAAATTGCACTTTTTACTTGAAGTGTATCCTTAACACTTTCAAATGAGTATAGATTTACAGACTGTGCACACAAATATTTGGTGCTTGAATACTATGAGCATAGATATCGGTCTACATATATACAAAGCAATAAAACATCAATATTGGAATGAACTAGATGTGCATATTCATTGTACGAAACCAACAAATGCTATCAATGTCTGAAGTCATAATGTTGACTGCAGATATTAAGTAAATGAATACTTCAGCTTCAATGATTAAAATGCATTTACCGTAACTGTATCCTATCTTTTATCTGTTTCACAATTATGTATCATTAACAAACAAAACTGTAAGGTTGAGTTAATTATGTATAAGCTATACCAAATGTGTGTATACATTCATAAATTGACAACCATGTAACCAACCAAACTCATGCAAAAACAGTTTACAAGTGCTGAACTATCTTCCTGTGAGTTTCATGAAGTAACTAACAATATAAAGTTACAAAAATCTCAATGCAGTTCACAAAATCTACAGGCAGATATTCACACTGTCAGGTGGGAACTCATTCACTACAGAACAAATTATGTATCAACATCTACAATTGTGTTGTACATTTCCCAAGTACAATAAACTCATGCAATGTACTAAACACTCACTTGATGCACAGAATATACTCATCCAAAAAATGTATACATGTCTGACATACACTCTATTACGTTCAACATATCAGAAGGACATGCATTTATTGCAAAATAACCAGTCTCTGTCTTTGAGATCAAACGTTTGCATCTATCGTTCGTGGATGAATGTCAACTGTTGTAAAAATCACATCGAAGTTCAAAATCTGGTTGACTAGTTGTAATAACAACTTTAGGGAGCACTGGATCCTGCTAGAGTTCTGTGTAATGTTCAGAAGAAATATAAGTTCGAACCTTTGACGAGCGCAGTCTTCAGTTCACCTTGATGAAATCTCGCCGATCTAGGTAAGTCTCTGATTGATGGAAAGCTTGGAGAGCAACAGTCATCAATTGATCTTGTGTGGCGTCTCACCATAACTTAAGTCGCAATCACACTCACAGCTCACTGCTCTGTAGTCGAGTAGATCGAGCTAGAAGAACTTTAGAAGTAGGCTAGCACTGTTCACTTCAGCTTCTTGCAGAATTCAGTCTTCACTTTCTAGTTGACACAATAGCTAGTACAATCTGGTATTATAGCAGTCACAGTAGCTTTCAGTCATACAGCAGCAAACAACCAAAGTCTACATGAGACGAGTTTCATTTCAATTTGTAGCTAGATGGTACTTACGTCGAATCGCACACATGGGACTGTAATACGTCCAAAGTCCCAATTTCTCAAAAGGAATGTGTCGCTCCGTCGCGTTTCATCACTTGGCTTAACTTTTCTATAGAAGTGACCGTTCCGTTGATTCAGCGTTCAGGTGCGGCCTTGATATAAGGTATCACAGACCATTCGGTGTCAGTTAATTCAGGCTCGTAGTCGACGTCAGATCCAGGAATCAGCGTAAACTTCATAATGTATGCGAGCGGATCGTTGTTGTTGTTTACTCTCGATCTCCTGTCGATGTCAGATAACACGTGCATTGAATACGGTGTATCAGTTGTCAATCACAGCACACACGTGTCTGTACCGCGGCAATGTGGAAAACGAAGTGCCCACTTTATGTTGATCAAGAACGAGTCTAAAGTTCCACAAACTGCATGAAATATCACTTTCGGTGGCGTATCATACTGTCCACTGAAGCACAAAATCACGTTTTAACCGCTGCCACCATGTTTCAATGGCTAAATGCCTTTACTTTAGCAGCGAAATGTGGCAAACTACAGACGTAATCAAATACACGACAGTCATGTTTAGCGGGTCATGTAGAGAGCACTTTATTAGGTCATAGATCATGTGACCTCAACAATTAGCATAGATCATTTCACAAGTCAACAATATTGTAGCACATATTGTTACAAACAGTGCGTCCCAGAAAAAACGAAACCGATATAATTATCGATGTTTTTTCATAACTTAATCGCAATTATAATCAATAAATGACACATATTTGTAAAGCTTAGATCCTCTTCTTTCATTTGATGCAACGCATATGATGCACATTTCACGATTGAGTGATTAAAAACGATTTGAAGAGAGGAAACCAAAAAGTCATTTGACGGGCGGTATCTGAACTTCAAAGAGATAATAACATTTCTAGAAAGTTCAATATCTGCCCTTTCAAATGACACCTCAATCAGGACAAATGAGCCAGGAATAACAAATTTCCTTTTGTTTAAAGTAATGCTTGCATTTCCATAATTTGATTAAACGACTTCGTTTTCACTGGCTGCCTGCCGTAGCAACAAACAGAGTTGAAAAGGCTTAACTCCGTTTCGTTGACGATCAGCCATGCATCAAGTATTTCGTCTTCTTTGTGCATGGCTGATCGTCAACAAAACGGATTCAATGAAAGAGGAGGATCCAAGCTTTACAAATATGTGTCATTTATTAATTATAATTGTGATTAAGTTATGATTAAACATCGATAATTCTCGGTTTCGTTTTTTTTTCTGGGACGCACTGTATATTGACGCTCCGCAACTGTTTGCAGACGAGAGAAGGATTCAGTTAGAGAATGCTAGATTGTATTCATACTCATCAAATTGAAAGGTAACTACGAATGATGATCATGATGATGTAAAAGGGGGACACATTTCAATTTTAGACAGAACACAGAACAACGGTGATGTAATACATTTCACTACATGTATACAATTCTAACTTTGAAGAGGCCATTTACAGTGAACGCTGTTTTGTGAAATTCAATTTCAAATTTGTATTGCACACAAACATACATGACACAACTACATGTACATAAATATGAGTATGTTCTGTTAAATTTCCACTCGACGTTTTGCTGTGTACACAAGTACACGTACAATGTAAAATAAATACAGTGACAAATTTATTTCTTTTTCAATCTTAGACCGCACCCATACACAGAGTCAGTTGAATGAGAAAGAAGGGCAACTTTCAAAATACGGGCAACTCTGTT